GATGAAGTACCTGTGATGGAGCAGTAGATATGATATGAGGAGGAAGGTGGTGTGGGGATGAAGTACCTGTGATGGAGCAGTAGACGATCTGAGGAGCAATCTTATCTACATCTTCATATCCTAGGCCCAGCTCAGAAAGTTTCCCAGGAACGTAGTTTTCCACAAACACATCACAAATGGCTGCAAGCTGAAGAAAGGTAAAAATTAATCAGATTTTTTGAGGGACTTCCAAGCCTTTAACAACTCTTCCCTCATAGTAGGATTTTAATTTCAATTTCAATTCTCACATTGTAAAAATCTAGAACAAAAATCTCAGGATAAATTAAGTATGTTTACACATATATAAAAGATCTGATCAGCTACTTGAACTGCTACTGTCAAGAAAACAATGGTTATAATATGTTTGTAAATGTAAAATATTAAATAGATTTTGTATTCTGAAATGTAAGAAACATTTGCTGAACATGGTCTGTCCAAATATATTCTCAGAAGAATAAATAAAAACAAAATGTAAGTAAAATAATATAAAATACAATAAAATAATATAAAATACAATAACATAATATAAAATTCATACAAAAAACTTGAAATTGTCACCCAAAAACCCTAAGTACAATATCATTATAGTTTATTATTCTGTAATATTTCTAATGACAACCATGTTTAATACATTAGAACTTTATTCTGAAATGCCTTCTACTTTCAAATGCTTTTTCCAAAGAATTCTATGTTTCTGAATTAAACTGTATTTTGTTTTGATTTTCAGGAACTGAAGGGATGCATCTTAGCAGGCATCTCAAGGAGAGAACCTGTCATTCATTGAAGCTCTAGAGATAAAAACACCATTCGAGTGGGTGACCTCCCTGGAGACACTACTCCAGACCAGGGACTTATTTACTCCACATTTTAGAGGCCCGAGGGCAAAACACAAGCATCAGCTGAGGTGAGTGGGGACTTCATAAAAAACAAGCATCACAATGTATGAAGTATACTCAAGAAGGATCAATCAAGAAGAATAGGTTGTGAAATAGGAAGATGGAAAGTAGGACTTGATTACACAAATAAGAACAACTGCAGTTCCATGAGAACTACCTTACTTTCTTTTGAGGACAGATACTCCTGTGACCCAACCACCTTCCATCTTCCATTTCCACTATATTCTACCTCTTTCATGTTCCACTATCTCCCAATATTGCTGTACTGAGGTCTAAGTTTCCAAAGCAGGAACCTTTGGGACCAAACTCAACCCATATCCAAATAATAGCAAATAAACATGGAGAAGATGCAGGTGTGCAACTGAAATGTCACACTATACAGGTATCCTTTCCAAATCCCAGGTGAAGTTGATAAGCCTCTCATATGAGCGAGCTATACAGCATACTCCAGGTATATTATTCTAATGCTATGAATAAACACTCTCAACAAAATCAACCTAGTGGAAGAAATGGTTTATTTGTCTTACACGTCCAGATACAGTCTATCATATCATTAAGGAAAGTAGAGCAGGAACTCGAGAAGGAAATCAAGCAGAAACCAAGGAGGAAAGATGCTGTAACTTTAATTTTTAAAAGTCTATTTTTAGTGATGGTTCTCAAACATTTTAAATTCCCTTCTAGCCTACCATCCAACAGAGGTAGTGGAAAAGAAAGGATACAGGGGAAGTGGAACTGTTTAGAAATGGTTCTTTGGAGAAATCTCTTCTGCATTCTCAGGAAACCAGCAATTCAGTTCACGAGTCAGCACCTGCAGCTCAATCCACTCGCAAACACTTCCTGGTTATAAGAGTAGTCCAGTTTGGTAATGTTGCGATAGCATCAGTGGTGGCATGACTTAGCAGGGACAGCCAGGCCTCAGCCAAATGGCACAAGTCAGCTGAGGGGATTCAGACCAGCAGGAACAGAAGTTCTCAGCTGTGCCTCTCTCAATGAAGTGAAGATCAGCAAAGACTCGAAGCCAACAAGCATTGCATAGCTAGCTCTACCAGCAAGCCCCTCTCACAGTTGAGTCTTATTCATTCTCCCTCTGCCTCAGCACATGTCTTGCCTCAGCATGTAAGTCTGTCTCAGCTGATGTCACTCTGCCAATTGGCCTGAGTCTGAAGAAGCAGCAAGAAGCCACAGCACACCACCAGTTTTTTTGGAGTGTTTCTTTCTATGGAGTCCCGACAATTGGGGCTTAACTACACAATATAAGGTGGACCAATACATGCGTGTTGTTAGCAAAGAATTCTTTCAACTGTGTCTACTTCAGTGAAGTGTTCCTTTATGAATCTGCCTTAGTGAAATATCCTTTCAAACATCCTTTCACCAGTGTCTGGTTGAGCTAAACATTGCTTTATATGTCTGCTTTATCCAAACACCATCCAACAGGACTGACTTTCCAAAGAACCCTAAGTTTCCACTTCAAGATGCTTCCTGACTTACTTTCTGAATCATGCCCAGATAACTTTCTTATACAGCCCAGACTCACATGCCTGGGGGTGCCACTCACAGTGGGAAAGGCCGTCTCACATCAACTGTCAAATCAATTTCTCATAGACATGGCAAGAGGCCAATCTGATCTGGGCAATTCCTCAATTGGGGTTCTCTCTTCCTAGATGACTCTAGGTTGTGTTGAGTTGACAACAAATACCAAGCACCACACTAGATGAGCCTCAATATAAGAGCATTTATTAATGTTGATGATCCTAACAAATATTTTATAGGAGAATGAAGCAGAAATGTTGCTATTAAATACAATACACACTTTAGTTACATCTTAATTTTTTCTACAAATTTTGTTGATCAACTTTTTAAAAATCATTCCTGCAGGTACTATAGAAAAAATACTATATCAAATATATATATATATGCATATATATATGTATATATACATATATATGTATATATGTGTGTGTGTATGTGTGTGTATACATATATATATATATATCAAGCATATATATGTACATACATGTATATATGTATACTTGATATAGTACTGACATAGTACTACCACATATGTATGTGTGCATGTGTGTGTGTGTGTGCGTGTGTGTGTGCATGTGTGTGTGTGTGGTTATATTGATAATGTCTATTGCATTTGTACTACATAATAACTGATATAATGTTTTAACTATGTAAATACCATTAAACAATTTTGTGTTTAAAGCCTTATGTGGGGAGCAAAGAGATGAGTCAGTGATTAAGAGCACTCAGCTGCACTTCTACAAGTCCCAAGTTCAGTTGCCAGCATCCACATGCAAGCTACAGTACCAGGGAAATGCAAGACTTTTTCTGGCATATAAGGCAGCTCATGTATGTGGTAGACAAACAAACAGGCAGGCAAGACACCAATATATATAAAACAATAGACGATAATCATTATTTTTTTAAATTTATGAAAAAATCCCCCCAAAATATCCAACAACTTGAGTTTGATCCCCAGAGCCTACATAGTAGGAGACAACTGACTCTCACAAGTGATTTTTAATATCCATATTTGTTCTGTGGCATTAACATGCCCAAATACACATAAACACACAACTATTAAATGGAATAAGCAAAAGTGTTTGACCATGTTTTCTATTGAAGTGATTTTTCTCTTACATACATCCTGACCAGTTTTCCCTTGCTCAAATCCTCCCAGTTCCTCCCCACATCTCTTCTTCAGATACACACTCCTTCTCTTTTCCTTCAGAAAAGAGCATGCCTTCAAGACACAACAACCAAACAGAACAAAACAAGATGCATTCCTGTTTGATTCTGATCTAGGTCTCTGGGCTATCACGTCTCTGGGTTCTGGCCATTCAGGCATTGCCCCCAGCACATCTTTCAAGCAGGACAGATAATAATAGGTCAAGAGTTTTGTCACTGAGTTGGTGTCAGGTTCTCTTTCCATAGCCTGCAGAGTAAAGTATGAGGGTAAAGGCCCCATGCAGGCATTATCTAGGCCTCTCCATATTCAATGAGCTGTGTAAATGGTGTCCTCAGTAGTGGGGTTCAACTGTCAGAGTTTTGGAGAGCAGCTCTGTCCACGTATTACCTTGGGTTGTTGAGGACTGTCTTAATTAGGGGTTTCCATTGCTGTGAAGAGACACCATGACTACAGCAACTCTTATGAAGGAAAAGATTTAATTGGGGCTGGCTTATAGGTTCAGGGGTTCAGTCCATTATCATCAAGGTGGGAGCATGGCAGCTTCTAGGAAGGAATGGCACAAAAGGAGCTGAAAGTTCCGAATCTTGTTCTGAAGGCAAACAGAAGACCAACTCCTAAGGCAGATAAAAGTAGGGCCTCAAAGGCCACCCCCACAGTGACACACTTCATCCAACAAGGCCACACCTACTCCAACAGGCCATTCTTTTTTTTTTTTGTATCTGATTTATTTTTGTCTTTAATTTTATTGGATATTTACTTTATTTCCATTTCAAATGCCATCCCCTTTTTCAGTTTCCCCTTCCAAAACCCCCATGCCATCCCCACTCATCCTGCTGCTATGAGGGTATTCCTCTACCCACTCACCCACTCCCACCTCCACACCCTGGCATTCTCCTACACTGGGGCATCGAGCCTTCACAGAACCAAAGGCCTCTCCTTCCATTGATGCCCAACAAGGTCATCCTCAGCTACATATGTGGATAAACCCATGGGGTGCTCAATGTGTACACTTTGGTTGGTGGTTTAGTCCTTGGGAGCCCTGGAAAGTCAGGTTGGTTGTTATCGGTGTTCTTCCTATGGGGTTGCAAACCCATTCAGCTTCTTCAGTCCTTTCTCCAACACCTCCATTGGGGACCCCGTGCTCAGTCCAATGCTGTGAGCATCCACCTCTGTATTTGTCAGGCTCTGGCAGAGCCTCTCAGGAGACAGCTATATCAGACACCTGTCAGAAAAAAACTTCTTGGCGTTCCCAATAGTGTCTGGGTTGGATGACTATATATGGGATGGATGGCCTTTCCTTTAGTCTCAGCTCCACACTTTGTTTCCATATTTCCTCCTGTGAGTATTTTGTTACCCCTTCTAAGAAGGACTCAAGCATCCACACTTTGGTCTTCCCTCTTCTTGAGCTTCATGAGGTCTGTGAATTGTACCTTGGATATTCTGAGCTTTTGGGGCTAATATCCACTTATCAGTGAGTGCATACCATGTGTGTTCTTTTGTGACTCGGTTACCTCACTCAGGATATTTTCTAGTTCCATCCATTTGCCTAAGAAT